ACTGTAGTGTCTTGCATGTTGCTGTGATGCTGGAAGCTATGCCACCAGTATTTCAAATGCCAGGTTTTGGCAGAGCTTCCAGACTAATACAGACTAGGAGGAAGGACCTGGTGATCTACTTCTGAAAAAACTGACCAGTGAAAACTTGATGATTATAATTGTTTCCTTATCTGTATTCCTCACTAGTTGCTAGTATTCTGGAAGGTAGAAATCATGTTTTATTCATCTTTGTATTCATAGTATAAATATTTGTTAAATAAACAAATGTATATATTCCAAATAAAATCAGAGCTGTGTTGTTGAGTTTCAACCCAATAAAGTCTAGCTATCGTAAATTAAAGGGAGAATTTATTATAAGAATACGGAGATGCCTAATGGACTCCTAAGTAAGGAGCCATACAAGTAAGTCTAAGAAGGAGAAGAAGCAGAGCAACTCCAGGAATATTAACAGAAGTGAGTCCTGAACCACCTGTTTAGCCTTGAACTTTTCCATTGGTAGGGCCGGGTCTTGTCTCAGAGAACTCCTGGTCTCTGGTGTCTATTCTAAATTTTGAGTCCCTGGGATGGAGAATCTGATTGGCCCAAACTAAAGCAGATGTCTTCTCCCTAAATCCAATCATGTTGAGGCAGTGATGTCAGTGTTACATAGTGTAGGTATTGCTACAGGCACCCACAGAAATTTCCACTATGTGCAGTAAAAGCTGACAGCGTGGCATCGTTTCCATAGTTCTGCTTTCATATCTTTTTCTGCCTGGTTAGGATCACTTTCATTCAGCAAACAATTATGAGACACGTATTCTCTGTCAGGTACCCTGCTACATGCTGGAGTTACAAAGAAAAATAAGATTCCATCTCTGTGCTGGAAGAGGGAGAAAGAACAGCACAAATAATAGTAATAAAACATGGCATGTTCAACACACAATTTCTGTTTCTGATTATATCTTGTTTTGGGGAACCCATTACCTGTTGCCACCAAGTTGATTCTGACTCATAGTGACCCTATAGGACAGAGTAGAACTGCCCCATAGGGTTTCCAAGGAGCACCTGGTGGATTTGAACTACCGACCCACCTTTTCGTTAGCAGCCATAGCTCTGCGCTACCAGGGTTTCCATTTGGGGCAGCAGGGCATAAGAAATGTGCATTGAGTTAGTTGTAAAGGAAACATTTCATTCAAATTCTTGCTTGTTCATCCTGTAAGTGTTGTGAGAATCACAGGAAATGAGAGGTCAGAAGGTTTTCAGAATTCTTTCAGGCTAACTGCCTGTTTGAGGTGTAAATGCCTTCTCTCCTTTTGTTTTCTTTCCCCGTTTAACTTTAAAAAAATTGCTACCAAGTC